CAGTCGCATAGGACACCTTGGTAAATCACAAGTTCATTGTGTGAACTTATTGTTGTACTACCTGTACTTATAGAGGTGGAGGTATTTTACTTTTTCTCACCAAGAGGCCACCAACCATGCTTATAGAACTTTTCTTTATCTTAGGGGCAAGAGGAGTTGTTGTTTCTTTCAGAGGACTACCATACGGAACTTTAAATTCTTTATATAAATATTCCAAAAGGTTAATAACATCATCCCTGTCTTTCGTCCCTTCAGTTAAATTCTTATAAAAATAACCATTATCATCTAAAAGACAAACATAGTAATACTCCATGAGAATTTTAAAATTCTAAATCTTAAATCGTGGATCATAAATAATACGAATTTTATAAATATCAATTATATATAAGTAATAAGCACACCATTTATCTCTCATAGGATATACGTAGGGGGGCAAAGTTGGATCAAACATACTTTCACGAAAACATGTAGCCATCAGAACACACCCAGAAAAAATCTATTAGTCGTAGGTTTAGGAAAGTTAGAGTTGCATTATTAAAAACTTCTACCATGTTGTTCAATTTTTCAACAATAAAAATTAATTCAGATGAATTATATGATTAAGTTCATACCTAAGAAATGAAGCAAGTTCTTTATACCTCAATATTTGTGCAAGCAACTTATAGGTATTATTCCACTAATCCTAATGTCCTTAACAAATATTATTGGTTTTCTATTCTTAGATCTACAGAAAGACTTCAATGCATGAGAATCATAACTTATAGGTATTATTCCATCTAATCCTAATGTCCTTAACAAATATTATTGGTTTTCTATTCTTAGATCTACAGAAAGGCTTCAATGCATGAGAATCATAACGACTACCCCAAATTAATTTTAAACCAGCCTTAATGTTGGTCAACCCCCCTCCCATATTTTGTAACCCCTATTGAACATAAAAATTTAAAATATGACATGCACACCTTTGGTGTAGAAATCTACCCATAGCACTTCTAGGGGGACAAAATTATTTAAGTCGAGGAACGGTTGCGATGTTATGCGTAGCATTATCAAAATCAAACGTAAATACTATTCAAGTAAGTTTTATTCTTTCAAAATACGCTCAAGCAGAAGAACAATATTATCATGAGTGTGAGATTCATTGAAATCACAAAAAGCAAGAACACATTTATGTATCACCTAGTCAATATCTATCCAATGACAAGTAACACCCATGTAAGACAATTTATGATAAGTTTCACTCCAAATATCCGAACAAATGGTAACACAAGATTTAAAAGTAAGAAAAAAGTTAGCTAAATGATTCACATCATTCTTCGTCCCCATAAACTGATCAAATTCTTGATCATCGATTACATTGGCTAGATATTACTCTGGGATTGTCGGAAAGGACGAGACAAAGTGTCTCGGTTGAGATATATAGATGTGAGCTGGAACCTTCGGACGTGACAGGGGGCTTTTCCTCTACTTGAACTTCTCCGGTTCAAACTCCCTATATCGAAGACCTTCTACCTGACATTTTAAATAATATAAATATTGATATTGGATACTATATTAATAAAATATATTTATATTATAATATTCTAATATGAGTAATATATTATAATTTTATAATATCAAATTATTTATATATTATTATAAGTTTATAATATATTTATAATATATTAATATATAAGTATAAATAATACTCCCTCCGTCCTAAAACTATCCTCCCAGTTACTATTCACATAGTCAAACATAAATCACTTTCTTTACCTATTCTCGTTAATTATTTGATAAAATAATATAGTCTTGTTACCTCTTGTTTTGTAGAACTTTTGATGTAGTTTTTAATATATAAAATTTATTTTTAAAATTTACACCTACAATCAAATAAATTGAATTAAAAATAAAGTAGGTCAAACCTTGTAAACACAAATGGGAAGATAATAAAATGATATGGTTTTGAAATCCAAAATGAATTGGTTTGGATAGATTTAAAATTATGATTTAATTAGTAATAAGCGGGGGTGGCCCGCAACGGCCATGGTTGGCAGTGACAATGGTAGCCAGTGACGGAGTTGATCATTGATTGAGAGATATATCAAATTCCCATATTGATATCTCCCAAATTTGGGAGATATGGAAACCCTCCATTTAAAAGATTTATTATATCTGGAGATATCGGATTCGATATCTTTTTTGGCTTCACCAAACACTTAAAAAGAATTCGATATCTGGAGGAATCAAAACTCTTATCTTGTTTTCTCACCAAACACATCATAAGAGAATAGAATTATAGAAGAGTAGATTGAGTTTAGAGCGATATAGAAGTGTGGTTTATATAAAAAATAAAAGGTATACATAGGGAATTTTTTTAGCCCTCCCCCCACCCCCTCCCTATAAAGCCTTTGGAGTGCTTCCTCCGAGCTCCACCATTATTATTTTCAGAGGTAGGGTCCACCACTTTAAACAAAAAAAATCTACCAGACCCAGAACCAGTTGTTCTGGTACACCCCTCCCCAAACCCAGACTCAGTACCGGGTTTACCGGTTTTGGTACCTGTTCTTTGTCACCATGAAACCGCTGCCGACACCGGTGCAGGTGTTGGAAACGCCAGTACCAATTCAGAACCGGGCCCGTGTCCACCTCTAATAAAAATTCAATATTACCCATTTCTTTGTTTTTGTCCAAAAAGGATCCACATGATATCATATTTACCCGTAGAATTCAAATTTCAGATTTCAAATTCTTTTGTTGTGTTATGGAATTGAAAATGTGGAACATGAAATTTGAAATTATATTTCAACTCTAAATCCATAATTTTATGTGCTACCAAACAGCTGATAAGTCCATTCTGTTCTTATTCTATTCTACATATTTAAAACATTATTGCATCTAAATAATAAAAAATTAGTTCAAAAAAGATGTTTGCTACAAATAAAACTTTGGTTTTATTTTAAATAATGATAAAAGGTAGTTCCAAGTTCAATTGCTTTGATTCATCAATTTTCTGTCCAAAAATTGGAGAAAAAGGCTACAGGTTTGGGATAGTTGCGTGAATAAGAATCTCAGTAGTCAAGATCAATGTTCGAGGACCGAAATGGGCGAAACTAGGCCCAAAAAAGCTAGAATTCGCAAAGGATTTAGAACCCGTAGTCAGGGAATCCAACTTGGATGCCCGGGCATGGACGTCCCAACTTGGACGCCCTAGCTCTAGATCCTACAAAAGGAGCTTGCAGGGGTTCCATTCTTCATCAACTTCTCTCCATTCTTTTTCCTTCTCTCTATAGTTTCGAGTTTTTTAGTAGTGCTAGAAGTTTTAGTATAATTTTTAGAATTTCTTGGAGCAATTTGTAGCCCAGATATCATTCAACATTCAGATATGTTTTGTTTCCACTTGTTCGGAGAATGTAAGTTCCCAAATATAATGTTGATTTAATTATTTAGCATCGTATGAGTTAGGGTCCGGACCCTGGGTAATGTTTAGTTTATATTGGCATGATTATCCTAAAATTATTTTTTCTATATTTAATTAATTAATATTGAAAAATTTTATTAGCTATATATTGAAAAGTATTGTACGCTGTAAGGTTGTCGAATCCTAGAAATAGGTATGTAATGGTAGAAATGCTTTTGTTCCAACTATTAATTAAATGTGATATAGTTAGCGCATATAATGTCTTGAGCCTAGGCCTAGATCTTGCTTATACTATGTAAAAGTATTTACTCTTTTTGCATTGTTTCCATTATATTGAATCGAGATGACTTTCATAAACTTATCCTAACCTTTAGCTAATTCGAGAAATTTAAGTTTCACTCCTCAAGAGACACGACACTCGGATAGAAAATTAACTCTTTAGTGGGAAGGGTTGCTACCCGCTAAACTACTTCATCAAGAACAAAATTGAAATTGAAGTCTCCAATTACATTTCCATGGCATGAATTTCGTGTACCAAATGGAGCCTTCATTTCTCATGGTGACAGTTTCAAACAAAAACTATGGACGAATTGATCCTTTAAATCATCTATATCTTCATTCGTTGGATCATCCAGGTGCGGTGTTGGTTTCGAAGAACTTTGAAGGTGAAGATTTCAGATCTTGGTAAAAGGCGATGTAAAAAATGTTATGCGCAAAGAAAAAACTGGAATTCATCAATGGAAAGGTCAAGGAACCAGATGAAACATCTAAAAGTTTGAATGCATGACAACATTGTAACAATATGGTTACATCTTGGATTCTCAATGCCTTGAACAAAATAATAGAAGATAGTGTTCTATACGCATAGTTTGTCGTTGAAATCTAGAAGGAGCTCATGATAGGTTTGGTCAATCCAATGGAGCACAGTTGAACCAATTGCAAAAGGATATTTATTTCACTCCCTCCATCCCCAATTTGATTACAAATTGCGGGTTACAAAGTAAAATTTCCTATTTTTTGAAATCATTTTATTTATAAATTGCTATATCAATAAGATATAAAAATTACATATTAAAAAACAACGTCAAAAGTTCTACAAAATAAGAGGTGACAAGAATATTTAATTTTATCAAATACTTAATGAAATCGCGTAAATAAACAAAAGTTATCGAGAGGAGAGAGAAAAAAAAATTGTAATCTATTTAGGGACGGAGGGAGTATAACACTAGGTAATACCCACATAGCTGCATAATTGGGATTAGGTAATAAAATATTGGCATATTGCTTTGATATTAGTTATGACTTATGAAGCCCCCGCAAAACTAAAATAAACTTTTTGATCAAATCAGCTCTCAATTAAATTTTGGTCGTGTCCTCGTGATTAGACATACAAATAAAAAACATCCATATATATCATTATAATCAAAAGCAAAATCATCATATCCTTCTATTTACAACAGCAGCAGGAAAAATTTCCCGCTCAGTTGTGTGAGACCAATACGACGTCGGCTGCGGTACTTATTTCGTATTAAAAAACCGCAACCCAAGTCCCAACCACCCACTAAAGCACATCCTGGAATAATCAATCTAAGCGGTGTACCGTTGCAAATGGCGATGGACAGATTGAGTACTCAATCCATCGGAAGGAAGCAGAGAAGACAGAGAGAAGGGAGCAACTTGAGAAAGAAGGAGAGGGTGTCGTTGCAGGAGTACTATTTCTTCCTATATTTTTTCATAATTAAGGTTTCAATCTATCTATCCGGTAAATCCCCATATCAATTTCATGTTAATTTCATCAATTAATCAATCTATAAGTTTTCTTCAATGTTCCAGGCAGGTCACGTCCCTTTTCACTTTACAAATTTACAGAGGCAAAGAGGAGTCACCACATGTTCGATGATATGTCTCTGTGAGTCCTATCAATGAAACTCCAGTTTTTTATGTTACTATGGCATTCTTATGGGTTTCTAATACATCCAAAGGACTCTGCCACCCTCATGAGTATGCCACTACTCATTATTTACTCTTCTCTAATATATCATGCATTTAAAAAAATTCTTATATATGGGAGAATCAGGAGGCCATATCATATTATCATGCATATGTATGTATGTATGTATGTATGTATGCATGCATGCAATACACATGTATTATCAACTTCTCTTTAGTTGTTTCATTTTCTAATATTTTTTATCATTAACCAGGTATTAAATTTGAATATTAAGGAGAATCATGTTGCGCAGAGAATGAATGCTCTTTCTAAGCTAAGGCGTTTGACGGAGGGGCACTCTGGCATCGGTCGACACTCCACACTCTAGCCTTCTTCGTCCATGGTAAGTTAGAGAGGAGTGACGAAAGTGGGAAAGAGGAGTCATCTCTACTGGAACTTGTTTTTTTTTTTAAAAAAAAAATTACTAGTTTAGTCCAACCATGTTTTAACAAAGTGTTAACATGCTTTAAAGGAAAGAAGTCAAACAGTTATGATCTAAAGTCTCTAATTGTTACTAGTTAAAAGTTCAAACTCATTTTGATCAAACTTGGACTAGAAACTCTTTTTGACACATTTTCTCTTTAAAAGTTTAAGTTTCCTGATCCACGATATGATCAAAACTGCTTGAAAATTAAGTAAAATGTTAAAGTTTAAAACTGCCAGTAACTATACCTTCTCATAAAAAATTGTCAGTAAGAAACAAGAAAAACAAACTCCAATTTTGAAGTTTGACTAAATGACTTTAAACTAAAGAAAACTTTAATGAAAATATTGTTGGGATTCCTCCAAGTCCCACACCGGAAGGAAAAGAAACAATGGACCAAAATATATAGGTTCACTCAACCCCATTAGTATGAGGCCTTTTGGGAGGTGCCCAAAAACAAATCCGTGAGGGTTTGACCCAGAGCGGACAATATCATACTAATGTGGGGTTGGGGTGCGGGCACGCGCAGTCTCAACAAATATATTAATACTCCTTATGGACTGACCTAGGCACTGATAAAAGAGTGAAAAAAAATTTAATAAGGTAAATTAAAAGACTTTTTTTGTGTTTTTTTTACTTTAAAATTTTCTGTTTTTTTTAGAAAACAAAAGTAAACAAATTCTCAGTAAAATGTTAATCTTTCCCCGGCAACGGCGCCAAAATTTGATAAGGCGTGTCGTAGCACCTACAAATTAATTTATTATTTTCCTTAACTCTAAACCCTTTTTATGATTTAAAATTTATCAAAACATATAGATAGGGTAAGTAAGGATCGATCCCACGAGAAAAGATACTTTTAAACTCTAAAAATTCAATTTACTTTTGTCTTCTTTAGTGAATAAAAACAATTAAAACTAAGAGATAAGGAGGGGGTTTAAAAACAAAGTTTAAAAGGGTAAAATAAAAAACTACTCTAAATGACACACCACATCAGATCATATCTCAAAGCAACAAACTAAGAATAAAACAGAACATAACTCTACCAAAAGCCCAAACAAAGAAGAAAATCACAAACAAGACCACGTAGCACATTATTTTAAAAACTTAAACAATTTTAGAAAAAGTAACAGAGTTTTATAAAATATACTCCCTCCGTCCGGAAATATTCTTCCCATTTTCCTTTTTGGTCCGTCCGAAAATATTCTTCCCATTTCCTTTTTTAGTATGCTTTTTAAGGCTAAATATCAATAATACCCTTCTATTTTATCACAAATCTACTTTTTTAATACTTTTTTAATAATAAAAGAAGATTCAAAAGTTTATAGTATGTGCATTTTTAAACATTTTGCATTTTTTTTACTATTCCTTAATAAGCGTGCCAAGTCAACACGGAAAGAATATTTCCGGACGGAGGGAGTAGAAAATAAATATCCAGGTCTAATATTTGATAAAAATAAGCATAATCATCAACCAACTATAAATCAAAACATGAGTTAGGCTAAAGAAGAGGTCCACCAACGGTTCTTCCCTATTTTCCCATTCATAAAAGCTCATGTTAAGACCAACCCTAACTCTAAACCCTACTACCCTTAGCAACCCAAAGACCAACCCATAGATTACTACTAAGAATAGCGCATTAAAATCTTTGGAAAACGTCACCATAACAATTTTGCAGTAATACAAAGGTTATTTAACAAAATCAATTCGAAAACCTTGATTAGCAAAAACCACTTAATGAGGCAGCCTAGTACTAATCAAGTGACACTCAGTTTCTAGAAAAGTTCGGCTATTTAAAGCACTTTGGACTTTAAGAGAATGTCAATTTGAAGTGGATTAGGCGTGCACTCCTAATTTGACCCAATTCAAGCATAAACGAAGAACAGTTCTCAGAACACCTTTAATTAATTTAATAGTAGCAAAAGAGCTGAATTATTTTCAGATTACAAAACCAATTTTATAAACTATAAGTTCATAGACAAACTTAGTTTATGTAAAAAGAGAGTTTAGCAATTAAGAAAACAATCTGGTTTCAAAGACAAACTTAAATCCAATCCTAAACCTGGAAAACAAGTGAACAAAACACCAACATATACCCATTCTAAATTCAAGACCTTGCATCCAAATCTTAACCCAAAAAGTTAGTGCACAAGTTGACCAATTTGAAGGAGCAATTTTTTTTTCGCCCAGTGAGTTCAAGACATGCTCTAGAATTGTTCCACTAACTAGGTCCACTTGCAGACCCAATTGGTAGCCATTCATTGATTCCAAAGATATGTGATCATAAAGCAACAGGTCAAGAATAAAAATGGGCAGTATATAGAATCAACGAAAACTTTAATCAAAGTTTGGCATAAAAACCAAAGCCTTAATTCAAATACCAAAGTGGAGTAACTGGTCCAAATTCTTAACAAATGAAATCAACTCCGAAAAAAAACTGTTAACTAATGGAAATTTATTCAACACTAAAATTATAAAAAGAAACTATGAAAAAGAAAGGAACAGAGGGGGTTCGGATGTTGGGTCCAAACCCCCCTAGGGTTCATACCCTTTGTATTGAAGCTCTAATTCTTGTTCTTGATGGTGGTGGTGTCTTCTATCGCAGCCTCCTCCCCGTCTTATAGGTGCGAGAATCACCTCTTCCGTCTGGGATTAGGATTCGCTGATTTCTTGCTGCGGATTCTCCGGCTCTGCTTGAAGAAGCCGAATTGCAGTAGGAGAGGGGGTCCTATTTGAAGCAGCTTCTCTCAATTCCTTTCTTGTGTGTATTGGTTTGTGACTGAAAGGATTTGGGCCTGATTTTGAGAAGAGGACCGCAGGCTATGCTTCGGGTCAGATCCTGTCCATTTGAAGCTCCACTTTATTTCTTTAAAATCTGGAAGCCCAAACATCCTTTGGCGTCTCTTGCCCACTCGAAGCTCCAAGAGTGTATCCAATAAGCTTAGTCAAGAAAAATTTGGATCCAAAAGAATAATATTCAAAAATAAACTAAAAGTGTGCATTATGAATATATTTTGTAAAGAATGCCTAAGATGCAAATATGATCATTTAAGTGTAAAAATGCACTTTTTAATGCATAAAATTACTGATTTAGGGGAGAATAAATAAGGAATCTTTTGGACTCAACACCTATTTCTAGGTTTTGTAATTAATCTATTGAATATGATAGCCTTTCGACATATAATATTTCCTCAATAAATAGCTAATTAAATATTTCAATATTAATTAACTAAATATAGCAAGAACAAAATACTAATTATTCCAACATTAATTTAACATTCGAAGTATACAACAAAACATGTCCGGACCAAGGGTCTGAACCCTAACTCATACTATGCAAACATAAATTAAAACATCATTTTATTAAATAAGAAAACTTACGGTACTCCAATTAACAATATTTTCAACAAAGACGATATTCGGTTGTTCCACGTGCTTTTGAACAATGTCAAATTTGATTGGGTTCATTTCTTCCTCGTTGCACTTCTTGAAGGCTCTCGCATTTCACATATTCGGTTTGCCATTCCTATAATGCATATCCTTGCTCACTATGAAGTGGACCTTTCTCGGGACATACAAGTTCCGGTGAAAAAGACGTGCTACATAAAGGACACCAAACTCACCCGGATCGGCTATTGCGAGGAGGGCGCAGCTCTGCAGAATCTTGATATTGTGGTCACTGAAGAAGAAGAAAGCCAGAACGAGACCCTAGCGGAGTCATCATCACAAGCCGGTGAAGGGACAAGTCGTGCCTCGGATCGAGCTCCTCGTCGTTGATGCACTCGTCCAAGAGAAGAAGCCCCCGAGCCATCTTGGGTTAAGAGGCTATTTGACACTCTCACTTGCGTCCGAGATGACATCCGTCAGCTCAACGAGAGGATGACCCGTCTCGAGCAATCTTGCTCTTTTTGCGGTCCACATCATAGCTACAGCAGAGGATCGCGCCCGAAAAATTCTCTGTGATGTCTTTCTTTTTTTGGGTTCATAACTTGTTCTAGATGTTTTATGCCTTGACATTATGTTTTATTATTTGATGATGCTTACTTGATGACTTTATTATGAATTATGGTTAATGAATGATTATGGATTGTGGTTTTAATCCTTAATTATTATTATTATTGATTTATGCATGATGTTGGCTTGGCAATATTATTCTTGTTAGAACATATTGTCCCTTTGTTTATCAAATTGCAATCAGTTCCTTTTTTAAAGGAAACTCTTGCAAATTTTTTAAGAAAAATTCTTTTGGGCTATCCTTCAATATCCTGGCATCAATTAAGGGGAAGTTTATCGTTTGATAATGCCAAAAGCGGGAAGGAAAGTTGAGAAAAAAATATTTTTCAAAATGTTTTTTCGCTTGTTACTCCGAAATTTTTTCACTGCACTATTCTAACCCTGTAGGGGGATTCGCTTAATGTAAGTACTTCTTGAACTCTTTGCTATCAAATAGGAGGAAATTATTTGACATGAGTTCAAACCCCTTTTAGATATACTGTAACATTATTTTTCAGGTTTTGATAAATGACAAACGGAAAGATGAAATCGAAACGAAGATCTAAATTTTTATTTTCGAATCGAGAAAGCAAAGAGACGTACCGACACTCACCCATATGCAGAGGTTTTTCAAGTGAAGTGAAGATTTTGAAGACTTTTTAATTTTATTGAGTCTAGGAACAATTTGTAAGGATGACAAATATTTTTTGCTTAAACAAATAAATTTTTTGAGGAATAAAATTATTATTTTTTGAGTCATTTGAAAAATAAACTTTTTTCTATCTAAAAATAATTTATTAGTTCAGTTACAAAAAGGTGTGTCAAAATATACAGTAAGTATTTTTTGTGTACATCGTTTGACACACAAAATATTTTTTGGGACTCAATTTGTACACCAAATATTTAACTTCATAATTCAGATTCAATTAGAATTATTCTTGTTTGATTATGGAGCCTCTTGCCTATTCTCTTTGTTGGAAACAAGGCATTTACACCAAATTACCTTCTCATCTCGCACATAGCTTGAGCCCTTCTCGTTTGCGTATAATTCACATACTAATCGATTAATCCCTCTTCGTTAATCGATTAATACTTCGTACCCGTTGGAGGATTGTTCAACACAACACGATAATCGATTAATCTATATTGAATTAATCAATTAGCCCTTTCCTCCACTGAAGGAATTTTAGTCAGAAGGTCCTAATCGATTTTTTCTAACTCATAATAAAAGAAGATTATTTTCGTCTGGTGCATTTCACAAGTCCTTCTTTGGCTCCAACGGATTTATTTTTCTAAATCCTATAGAATCCCTCATCTTCCTTCATTTTTAACACATCTCTTGCACTCCATTCCTTATCAATTATACAACCCTTGCACTCCATTCTTTCCTTATCCAATCTACAACTCTTGCTTCAACCCTCTTCATCAAAATATTATTTTCGAGAGTTAGAAATATACTTGTTGAGTGCAAAGGATATTGTTATCCATAGTGCTTTCATTTTAAACACTACTTGCTCAATTCTGTGAGCTTTCATTATTGTGTTGTAAAATTCATATTGTTTGAGTTTGGTTGTTGCTAAGACTTGTGTGATTCAAGTCTTGTTGTGAGAAGTTAAGACTTGTGTCATTCAAGTCTTGTTGTAAGAAGTTGAAGCTTGTGTGACTCAAGCTCTCAAGTTGTTACCAGTTTTTCAAGCAGCTGTTGAAGCTTGAAGTATAATAGGACCTTTGAGAGTCTCTCTGAGAACTGGACTAGCCGCGAAGTGGTGAATCAGTATATGTCGCAGTGTTCTTCTTTCTCTTACTCTTTACATATTTCATGTGATTTTTATTTTGTTTATACACACACGAAAAACGTTCATTCTAGAAAATAACTCTATTCATCCCTCTAGAGTAGCAAGTTTTGTCTAACACTTCTGTGGTCCTAAAATCTACATATAAAATATGTGCTTTATCACAATTTTTATAAACCTACAGATAAATATTTTCTATTTTACAAAATATCAAACTTTTTCATTGTACTCCCTCCGTCCACAAATAAACTTACCGTTGCGTGTTACGATGTTTGATTGAAGTTATTTTCAAATCATTTTATATGAAAATGGAGTAAAATTTAAAAATAAAAAATGTTGGAATGCATGAGTTCAACCCTTTCTGTGTTGTCAAGTGTTGACTTACAAGTTTTGATATTTGACAAACTCAATTTATTCAAGTCAAGATCAAAGTGTTACAACGACAAACACAAAGACTTGAAGTGCATTCCTTGAAGTATTCAAGAAGGTGCACATGATTTTATTGAAGTCCGAGATGCATTCGGCGTGCGTAACGGAGGACTCAGAGGAGTAGAAGATTTCCAAAGACTTTTTATTTATTTGAGTCGTAGGAATAATTGTAAGGATGACAAAAATGTCTTTTCTCCAAAATTATTTTTATGAGAGTTAAAATAAAAATTATATTTATTTTTGGAGTCAGTTGAAAAATCTTTTTAACTGTTCAAAATAGTTTTATTGAGTCAGTTACAAAAGGTGTGCCAAACATTTATCAAATCTTTATTTTGATATTATAAAATATTTTTGGTAAGCAAAAATATTTTATTCAAATATTTTTCATGTACATCGTTTGACACACAAAATATTTTTGGGACACATTTTCTACACCAAATATTCTTTCTCATAATTCAAATTTGAATTTGAATTATTTTATTTGATTTGGGAGCCTCCTACCCCTGTTCTTTATGTCTCAAACAACCTATACACTCCATTTTGTCCTTCCAACTCGCCCACATGCTTGTGCTTTTCATGTCTGGGCATTATTGTTTCAATAATCGATTATTATTTCTAGAATTAATCGATTATCTCGTCCAGAATGAACTAATCGATTTATACTTTTGACTTTAATCGATTATCACTTTTCCGCTCAGAAGGAATTTTGTTGAGGCGGATTTAATCGATTTTTTCAGCTGCATTAATCGATTATGATGATGCACTAATCAATTATGATGATGCATTAATCGATTTTTATGTTGCATTTTTCATCACAACTTCTTTTCTTGGACCAACGAATATATTTCTCCACCTCCTATTTAAACACCCTTCCTTAGTCATTTTTAACAACAAGAAACACTCATAAACTCTCCTATCTTGAGGTTATAATCCTCCATTCAATTCTTCCTCAAATTGATATATTTTGAGAGAAAACTAAGTATTTTCAAAAGAGTGTTTTGTCGTCCAATAAGAGCTTTAATCATTTCTCATTTCTACTCTTGTGAGAGTTTATGTTGAGAGGTTGAAGAAGATTATTCTTCTTGTTGTACAAGACTTATGTGATTTAAGTCTTGATTGTGAAGTCTTGTAGATGGCATATCAACGAGCGGTTGTGTCGAGGCTTGTGGGATTCAAGTTCTCGAGTTTTAAACGGTTTGTTAAGCACCCGTAAGCTTAACAGAAGTAGTGATAGCTTCGAGAGAGTCTCTCGGGGAACTGGACTAGCCACGAGGTGGTGAACCAGTATACATCAGTGTGTTCTTTGTCTTCTCTCTTTTATTTCCGCTGCACTTACGTTTATATTATTAATCTTGCGAAAATCGGTAATCATTCTCAACAACTCTTTACTCTATTCACCCCCTTTAGAGTTGCACGCCTTATCTAACAAAAAATACATATTAAAAAAACTATATCAAAAGATTTACAAAATTAGAAGTAACATAATTATATTATTTAATCAAATGAGTGACAAAAATAAACCAACAAAGTAAATAAAGTTTGAACCTGTGAATATTGGACGAGAAAGTTTATTTGTGGAGAGGGAGTAATTGCCTACTAACGTACCAAACATGCACATCTTGGTTTTTCCTCAATCCTGGCTCTGTTTCATCAGCTGATGGTTCTGTTTTACTCCCTCCGTCCGGAAATGTTCTTCACATTTGACTTTTCTTGGTCAAAGTTTGTAAATTTTGACTACGATTTGTGCAAAAAATACATTGTATTATAATGTAAATTTAATATCAATATATTCATAATGAAACATAGTTTTCAAATATCAAATTTTTACAAAATTTATCTATGTATAAATATAAATATTAATGGTCAAAGCAATATTGGAGACCGTGAAAAATCAAATGGGAAGAATATTTAATGAGGGAGGGAGGGAGTAAATTTTTTTAAGTATTAAGCGTCTTAAAAAAACCTAATCTGACCACTGCATCTTCTTCCAGTGATACTTTAGATGGCAGGAAGGAATCGCGTTCATCGGGAAGGATTCGACCGTCATCGCAATCACCTTGCAGAAGGGCGTCTTGTTCGTAGTCCTATGCGCCGATCCTTGCATCCCCATCCTGCCTTGTTAGAGGAAGAACTTGAAATTCGACATGTTGAAATTCGCCGACTTTTAGGAGAAAACCTGAGACTGGGTGAAGATCGCGTTACTCTACAACAGGAGTTGGGCGCTGCTAAGGAAGATCTGCATCGCATGAATCGTGCTATTGCAGATATTCATGCTGAACATGATCTCCGTTCCAGGGAAATCATAGATAGGGGTCTAAAGTTGGAAGCTGATCTTAGAGCCCTCGAACCCCTGAAATACGATGCCAAACAGCTTCGGACCGAAGTTCACAGGCTGAATAGCATAAAGAAGGATCTCTGTGAGCAGGTGGAGACACTGACTAAAGAAATTTCGAAACTGCAAGCTGAAAACCAACAGATTCCACTTTTGAGGGTGGAAATTGATGGATTACGTCAGGAGCTTTTTCATGCTAGGTTTTTGTCTTCACTTAGCTTACTATCTAATGGAGCAAAGCACTATTGTCTAGACTCTAGAATGGCCTTTGTCATTCCTATGTCTGTATGGTTATCAAAATGCTAGTGCTATTAAGTAATAAATTTATAAATTTTGATTTGCAGGTCTGCTCTTGATTATGAAAAGAAGGCAAAAGTTGATTTGGTTGACGAGAGAAAGGGAATGGAGAAAAACATGGCATCAATGGCAATGGAAGTGGAAAAGCTACGTTCTGAACTTGCAAGTTCGGAGGGCAGACCTTGGGCTGCAGGTTAACTTTTTTCTTCTTTATTTTATCTTTTAAGATTTTGTTTTACTTATCTTCTTTACTTTAGTAACTCTGTGATGCTTTGGGTTGTGTGATATTAGATAGGTGAGATTGACTACGAATTCTCAAAAATATTTTGAAGATTTTGTAAATTCGTATTTAGTCTGTCCGATTACTTTGAGCCTCTCTTTCATAGTTGAATGGTTTGAGAGAACTCAGAGAAGCCATGCTACCTATACAAATAACCTCTTTCTTAATTGATTTACATATGTTATCTTCCTTGCGCCATTAAAAAAAGTGCTAACACAAGTGCAATACACCCAAGTAGATTTGTATTTTGGCCCTTTATTCTTTGTTTTGATTCATTTTGAAACTATATACCTCAACTAGGTCACATTATTCCATTTTCAGTTTTGTCCATTGGGAACAAAGCTAAAAAGAGTAGTAATAGACAAGGTTCAAGCTTTGGATAAATAATGGACTTAATCAAAATGACACAATAAATATTCTTTGCATCTTACGTTCAATGACGCTTTGGGTAGTAAATGGAGCAATGCATCAAGGGTTTAATAGAACAAACTAACAGAATCAGTCTCTCTCTGTATTTTACAGGTGTAAAGTTGCATACATCTTGACCCTAGACCCCAACAAAGTTGTTATTGTACTCGGTTGTTGTTTTTTGTATTGCGTTCTTAGTTTTCTGACCTTATGTACTAACAAGCCAATCTCCTTTGATAATTTGACAAAATAATATAGTCATGACCCCTGTTATGTTACAGATCTTTTGATTTAGTTTTTTAAATATATATATAATTTCGTATCTTTTTTACTCCAATTTTGAAATAAATTGAAATATTGAATTGAAATTAATTTCAGTCAAGTATTATAAACCAAAAAGTCAAGTTCTTTTAGGGATGGCGCGAGTACTTAGGCTGCTTTCCGTTCGCGTGATCTGATCTGATTTTTTGAATGTTTGACCTGGTCTGATCTAATCTGATTGCAGTTATAATTAAAGCTGTTTCTGATCTTATTTAGTCTGATTTGATTATAATAAGAATATGTAATATGCAAAAAAAAAATAAGTTGAACGGAACGCTGCCTTAAAACTAGGACTGAACAAAAAAACCAATAAATCAAACCCAAAAACTAAATAGATCAAAACTGAAACAGACCAAAACCGGTTAGAGGTGTATTATAAAAGTGATTGTCAAAGGGGATTGGTGTCATAGCATCAATTCTCTTTTAAACATTCTTTGTCATTTATTCTCTTGGAAATAGCCTATTTAACCTATTTACGCTTTGGTATGGTAAGGTCTGCTTAAACACACCGTCCCCAGACCTCGCTCTGCGGGAATATATTGGGTATGTTGTTGCTGGTTAGATGATCTAAAACAATCTTGACCTATGAATCATATTCGACGGCAGAGAACCTTGCTTGAAATGTATGAGATCGATTTAATTTGGTATTGGTAATAATTGGATAACCAATGTTTGGAATGCATACCCAAGGTTTTGAAATCAGTATTACACCTAGAGGCGGTTGACATCAGACATGCTTTTCAAACTACAACAATTAGCTAGTGAAAGCCCATTTGTGGGTCAGGGTGTATGCCGACTTTGCTCCTTCCTATAAAAGATATAGATTATAGAGATTGTTTTCCGAAGACATCTAGCACACAAGGATAGAAGAAAACAAAGTAGCACAACCCACACAAAAGTAAGTGTCATGCAACTAACATAGAAAAACATGATGCAGATCTAACTACAAAACAAAAACAAAAGAAACACCTAACTTAGCTTCCTCCTAGAACCTTATACCTCATGAGAACAATACTCTCTTAGTCTGTTATCCAACCACCCTATAGGCTTAATCCTCAATCTGTACATCCTATCTAAGGTCATGTCACTGGTAAGTACAACTACCCTACCACCTTAACCGTTATACCCAAGCTTATGGTAGCTATGGATATAAATAGGGCAAAATGGAAATAGGTTATTATGGGATGGAAATGGTGTTGTTTTGGTTAGGAATGGGGAAGGGAATAATGATGGTTATGTGGGTAGGTTATGGCCGAATTAAGGTGAGTGAAAGAGGGAAGAAATATATGGTTTTAGAAGAGAAATGGAGTAACTTTAAAGAGGAGGAGGTTTGGGTTTTGTTTTGATTGGATAAAACCAAATAAGTGTTAATAGATAAACACACTCTTATCTTTACTTGGGGCTGTTATCTTCATTTACACATTAATAATCACTACTAATGTATAAAATTAGACTCCTAACACACACTAAAAAGTAGCCAACTTTAGAGATATTTCATTACGAAATTTTGCTGTTAGCTTCACACCAATTCAAATGACACTCAAAGAGTATGATTTTGATTAAAACATATTATATGCATTCCAAGGCCATGTTGGCCGAAATATAAAGGGGAAAATACAACTAGGAAGCTTCCTTCATCTTTCCTACAAATCAAATGATTAGTATCCATGTATTACAAACCAAAATGAGTTGAAGTCAATGACAAGGATAAGAGACTTTAATGGATAATCTTTGGTGTTATTTGGGGTGGATATTTCGGCCATGTGAGGTAAAAACAATGTGGAAAACATTGTGTGGCTACACCTTGACTTTGATGAACAAAATGACAAATCTGCTCTATTCATTCAAGGATTTTATTTGTGTGATTTTCGGCCTATTCATGGGGCATGATATGGTCTTTGTTTGATATAGGAAAAGGCTAATTTTTGGTTGAAAAATGAGGTAGATTTTTTGCCATATTGAAGGAAGGTGAAGTGAAAGCATTTGTGTCTCAAAATGACAAAACATTCACTATTCAATCAAAGACTCCTTTTCGGGTTGTCTTTTTATGTTGAAGGAGGTTTGTCTTGATTCATGCTTGAAATAGGCCTGATTTTTGGAGAAAAGAGAAAGGGATTTTTGTCCCTTATTGTAGGAAAGGAAGGGAAATACATTATTTGGCCAACAGAGACTTTGAAAGATAAAGACAAGAAACTAAGGTTTTATTTGTCTCCTTTGGTCTCATTTTTGGCCATGGCTTTTTAAATGAATGGAGAAGACTTTATTTTGAATAACATGATAAGATAATACTTTGGGTGTCCGAGAAAGGTTTGGACTTTGGGAAATTTCGGCCTAGGTGGGGTTTTGGGTTACTAGGGTTATGGTTTGGACTTTTGCAAGAGGAAGGGAAATGAATTCAACCCAAAAAGGGTCATAACACTTAGACATTAACCCGTTCATTTGTTTTGTAGCTTGCGGTGTGAGTCCAAGCTTGTTTGTAGCATTCCGGGGTATATCATCCTCCTTTTCTTCAGAAGAGTTTGACCTCAAATTCAGAATATCTTCAGGCTCAAAATAGGGGGTGAGATCGGTGATTTTGAGTGTAGGTGAAACTCCATAGTCTTCGGGTAAATTAACCTTGTAAGCATTGCCAGTCACCTTCTCCAAGATTTCAAATGGTCCATTAGCACGTGGTAATATCTTGGCATTGCGTTTTGTGGGGAAACGCTCTTTGCAGAGATGGATCCAAACTAGATCACCGGGTTTGAACTCTGCTGACTTTTTTCCTTTGTTGACCCGTGCACTTACCCTTTCATTCATTGACTCGATCTTTTCTCAGACCTTGTTATGAAGGTCTTGAACTTCTTTTTCTCGCTTCTCCGCCTCCCAACTGTATTTTTTATCTGCCATGATGGGTTCAAGTTCAAGTGGGGTAAGGGGGTTAGAACCATAAACAATCATGAAAGGTGAAAATCCTGTGGTCTTGTTTGGAGTTCTATTGTAGGCAAACTCTGCATGTGGTAGGAGTTCCTCCCATTGCTTGAAATTCTTCTTGATGAGGACTTGGAGTAGGGTTCCAAGAGTGCGGTTGGTCACCTTAGTTTGTCCGTCTGTTTGGGGGTGGCTTGATGTACTAAATTTGAGTTTAGTACCCATCTTTCTTAAGAGAGTCATCCAAAAATGACTAAGAAATTTATTGTCTCTATCCAATACCATGCTACGGGGAATGCCGTGAAGCTTGGCAATATGTCAGAAATAAAGATCAGCAACTTGTGATGCATCTCGACTGGTTAAGCATGGCCCGAAATGAGCCATATTTGAGAATCGATCCACCACGACCATGATAGAATCCTTGCCTCGTTGTGTTCTTGGCAACCCTGTTATGAAGTATTGGATGACATCTTCCCACAGTGCAAACGAGATGGGAAGTGGAAGATGCATTCCTTGTGCCAATGAATGGCTTTTAGCCATATGACAAGCTGCACCGCTTGATGTAGTGCTCAATGTCTCGTTCCATCTTTAGCCAGTAGTAGTGTTCACGCATCATCATGTGGGTTTTGTTGATGCCAAAGTGACCAGCTAATCCTCCACCATGTATTTCATCAAAGAGGGTTTCACGAATGCTGCATTTCGGAACACATAATTGATTGCCACGGAACAAGTAACCATCTTTGATGAGAAAGTTTTCATGTGGCTGTTCAAGACACTTGGGGCAAGTGTCTTTGAAGTCTTCATCCTCCTTGTAAAGCTCCTGCAAAAATTCAAAACTAACAAGTTTGGTAGTAAGCACCGTTAGTAATAAATGTCTCACGGTCTCGTTTTTGTGCTTTATGGTGAAGGTGAAGGTTTGGATGTATTCGAACCATTTAGCATGGCAGGGTTGGAGTTTGTGTAGCCGTTGGATATACTTCAGAGCTTCATGATCAGAATCAAGTATGAACTCCTTACAGATCAAATAATGACGCCAATGTTCTAGAGATTGAACAAGAGCTTAGAACTCCTTGTCATAAGTTGAATATCTCCTTCTTGTGTCATTCAACTTCTCACTGAAATAGGACACGGGATGGCCTTCTTGAGATAAGACAGCCCCTATTCCAACTCCGGATGCATCACACTCAACTTCAAAAAGCTTCTCAAAGCTCGGTAAAGCTAAAACCTGGACATGTGTTAACCGGTATTTGATAATCTCAAATGCTTATTGGGCC